GGGGCTGCGGGTCGGGAGTGAGGGGCACTGGCAGGGCTGGGGGGAGCGCAGGGCTGGGCTGGCAGGGGTTGCAGGTCATGGGTGAGGGGCACTGGCAGAGCTGGGTGGGACCCCAGGGCTGGGTGAGCAGGGGGCTGCGGGTCGGGGTTGACAGGCATTGGCCAGCCCAGCGCAGCCCCTGTCCTCATTCCCCCCCACCCCCCTGCATGTCTTCCAGGTGGCGTCGTACTTTGGTCACACGGTGGCTGTTGCTGATGTAAATGGCGATGGGTAAGGAGGAGGTTGGCACTGGCTTGGCAGCTGGGGCACTGTCCCCAACCACAGCCTGGGGAGGCGGCGAGGCCCCTTCACTCAGGCCTCCCATCCTGGGCACTGGCAGGGCAAGGGAGAGCCGGGCTCGCGCTGGGCGGTGCCGGGGCTGCTGGGCTCCATCACCTCCAGGAGCCTCCATGCTCCGCTTTACCCGTGCCCGTGACACAGCCCTGTGGGGCCAGAGCCCTCTTCAGCGCCAAGGGCCGGGGGGCACGGCTAAGAGCTCCAGGGTCCCCTCTGCCCAGGCCCCGCTGACGTGCTGGGTGTGGATTGTGCAGCTGGTGAATCCATGGGGCAGTCACGGTGCCCTGAGGAGGGGGCTGGGTCCCTGCAGATGCTGCTCCTCCTCCTGGGCCTGTGCTCTGGGCTCCCCAGCCAGCCTGGTTTGTCTCCCCTCATCCCCCCACGTTGGCTTCTGCTGCCATCTGGTGCCCACCAGCCTGCACTGCGGCTGGCAGAGCCTGGTGCCAGGCAAGCAGGGGCAGGGGACAGGAGTGGGGCAAAGCTGAGCCGAGGGGGGAACCCCAGCCCCCAGCACAAGGCCCGTCTCAGCCCGGGGGGAGCCTGGGCCCTGAGGGGACTGGGGACGGACAGACGGACGGACAGAACTCAGGGCGTGTCCATGTCCAGGAGCATCAGCCACGGGGCACCGACTAGTGTTAGCCGCAATGGCCCATTGTGTCCCTCCTGCAGGGGATGCTACGCCAGGGGGGGCGGGGGCTGCTCCCATCCCAGCTGGCTCCCTCCCCCCCGTGGGATCATCCTTTCGTTCCGTCGGCCCCCGCAGTCTGACGGGGACGGGAGCCCAGACGAGCCGGGCGCCTCCCTCTGCCATCTGCCCCCTTTGCCACCAGGAAGGACGACATCTTGGTGGGAGCGCCGCTCTACATGGAGCACCGCTCCGACCGCAAGCTCTATGAGGTGGGGTGCATCTACCTGTACCTGCAGCGCCGGGGCCCCCACCCCTACAGACACCCCTGGCAGACCATGACCGGCACCGAGGTCTACGGCCGCTTCGGCACAGCCATCGCTCCTGCGGGGGACCTGGACCAGGACGGCTACGTCGGTAACTCCCCGCGTGTCAGTCTGCTAGTGCTCAGGGCAGGGGGCTTTGGGTTGGCTCAGAGACCCCCCCCCCCACTGGCTGGGTCTGGGGCAGGGCACCTGGGAGGTGGGGGAGTGACCCACAGCCTCCGCGGGACAGTCACTGGAAGGCTGGGAGGCAGCCCTGGGATGGCCGAGCCCCAGGTCTCAAAGTGCTCGTGGGGCGGAAGAGCTCTGAGTCCTGCTGTATAGCTGGGGAAACTGAGGCAAAGCGACGAATCGCTCATAGCCCCACAAAGTAGCAGAGCCAGGAACAGTCCTGACGCTCAGTCCCCCGCTCCCCCCAGCTCTAACCACTAGTCCCAACTCCTCTCCCAGAGCCAGGGATAGAACCCTGGCATCCTGGCTCCCAGCCCCCACTCTGACCCCTAGACACGACCCTCCGAGCTCTGGGTCCCCTTCTAGTCAGTGTGTAATGTCTGGGGCCCGGTCACTGCCTCAGTGGGTGGGATCCTGCCCCTGGAGATGAGGAGCGACTGGTGCCTGAGGCTCAGCTGCTCTGGCCGGGGCCCTGCTGTCCTGTCCCCTCAGACGTGGCGGTGGGGGCTCCGTTCGCCGGGAGCGGCCGTGTGCTCATCTTCAGAGGGTACAGCGAGGGGCTCCGCACGCCGGCCTCGCAGGTCCTGGAGAGCCCCTTCCCCGGCCATGCCGCCTTCGGCTTCTCCGTGCGCGGCGCCACCGACATCGACGCCAACGGGTACCCAGGTACGGCCACCCTCAGAGCCACCCCCGGCCCGCCAGGGTCACAGGCCTGGAGCTGGGCAGGGCCCGTGGCCCAGACCCTTCGGGGAGAGAGATGAGTGTGTGGGGAAGAGGGCTCGACCTCCACCTCCTCCCTGGACCCCCTTCCTGTGCCGGGCACTGCCCCCGGCCCTCTGCGCCCTCCCTCCCGTGCCGGCAGCTGCTTCCCCTCCCGTGCCGGCTGCTGCCCCCTGGGCCCCCCCTCCCGTGCCAGGCACTGCCGTCTCTGCCCCTCTCCCATGCCAGGCACTTCCCCCCTGCCCCATGGGTCCCCCCTCCCGTGCCGGCCGCTGCCCCCTGGGCTCCCCTCCCATGTCGGCCACTGCCTGCTCCTCCTAGGTCACCCCATGCTGGGTGCTGTCCCCTGAGAAATGCTGAACACTCTTCCCTAGCAGGGTGCGGCTCTCTGGGCCCTCTAGGCGGGTGCCCCCCTGGCTGGCTGGAGCCCTGGCTCCCTGCCCTGGCTCCTGCTGGCAGCTTTGCCACACAGCTGAGCTGCAGGATCCTGTGCCCGCACCGTGAAGCCCGGTGTGACCCTTGACTTGTGCCCCCAGATGTGCTGGTTGGGGCGTTCGGCGCCAGCAAGGTGGCTGTGTACAGGTGAGTGCCCGGGGCTGGCTGGGCAGGGGGTGGGTGAGTGCCCAGGGGCCCTGGTCCTGGGTGCTTCCCTGTGCACATGAGCTGCACCTAGCGCCAGCAGCACTGAAGTCAGTAGGGGCTGCTGCCCTCAAGACACCAGGATCGGGGCCCGAAGCCCCGGTTGGGTCTGGGAGGGGTCAATAGCGTGGTGCCCAGCACAGACTCTGCCCTGGCACCAAGCAGCAGCCCCCCATTGTATAACACCTCCCCCAGTGCCTGGGTTCCCAGCTGTGGGGGAGGTGGCTGGCACATACCCAGCCCCTCCTCCCTGCCTGCCGCCCTTGCCCTGGGGATAACAGCCTGCTGCTGCTGCTGCCTGCCCGCGGAGCTTCTCCGACTGGTCAGGCTTCAGGCCCTGGGGTTGTTGCTGCTCACGGCTGGGCTGGGCCCAGCTCTGACCCCAGGCGTCCCTCTTGCTTACCCCAGGGATGGCGTTGCCCCTTCCCTGCCTGCTGGCCCTGATATTACAGAGCCAGCGCCATTCCCCTGGGTTTGACTGGCTTGATGGTGCCCACAGAGCCCAGCCCGTGGTGGTGGCCAGTAGCCAGCTGTTAGTGCCAGATGTGCTGAACCCTGAGGAGAAGACCTGCACTGCCCACAGGACCCTTGTCAGCTGGTGAGCAAAGGGACATGGGGGGGCCGTGTTCTGGGTGGGCGCAGGGCTGGACTGGGGAGAGCTGAGGGACCAGGAACTGCTGTCTCCTTCCCCTGTGCCTTTCCCCCCACAAATGCGGGGCAAAGCCCTCACCAGCCTGTGTCGTTCCTCCACAGCTTCCCCATCCAGCTGTGCGTGGGCATCAAGGGGAAGAGCCTCCCGGAGAGAATAAGTGAGTGCCAGTGGCGGGGGGCAGCATGGCCAGGAGTCAGAGAGCGGTGGGGCTGGGGCCAGGAGGGCAGGGTGGGCAGGGGCCAGGGAGTGGCATGGCCAGAAACCAGGGGGGCGGCAGGGCTGGGCACCAGGGGGATAGCATGGCCAGGGGGTGGTGGGGCTGGGGGCCAGGGGGGAGCATGGTCAGGAGTGAGGTGGCAGCAGGGCTGGGGGCCAGGGGGCGGTATAGCCAGGAAGCCGTTATGACGGGTTCAGTCACAGAGATCCCATTGGGACTGTCATGTGACGTGCTGAAATTACCTCTGAGCCCATTTTCCCTGCCAGCTCGGGACTCCAGAACTTTGTCTTGTTGAGCCACACACACCAGCCTGCTGCGAGCCAGACCCAGGGTCTGGTCCATGCCCCCAAAGCTGCAGACTTTAACCAAAAACTGCTCTGCAGGTTACTTGTCTCCAGCACCCAGACACCCAGTTCCCAATGGGATCCAAACCCCAAATAAATCCGTTTTATTCTGTACAGGGTAAACTCATAAATTGTCCACCCTCTATAACACTGATAGAGAGATATGCACAGCTGTTTGCTCCCCCAGGTATGAATCACTTACTCTCGGTTTATTAATAAGCAAAAGTAAGTCACCAAGCAAAATAAAGCAAAAACACACAAGTCTACACCTAGGTGAAGCTAGGGCCCAAAGGCCTGGGCAGAGCTCTCCCTATGCCAATTGTAGACTTGTGTGGTTTTGCTTTATTTTGCTTGGTGACTTACTTTGTTCGGTCTGTTATTACTTGAAACCACTTAAATCCTACTTTTTATACTTAATAAAATCACTTTTGCTTATTAATAAACCGAGAGTAAGTGATTCATACCTGGGGGAGCAAACAGCTGTGCATATCTCTCTATCAGTGTTATAGAGGGTGGACAATTTAAGAAACTGAGTACGGGTAAATCTCACCCTCAGAGATGTTCCAAGCTTCTTTCACAGACTAGACTTCCTCCTAGTCTGGGCCCAATCCTTTCCCCTGGTACAGTCCTTGTTAGTTCCAGCAGACATCTCAGGTGGTAAGCAGGGGTTTTCTCATGACTGGCAGCCCCCTTTGTCCTGTCCACCCCCTTTATAGCTTTGGCACAAGGCTGGAATCTTTTGTCTCTATGGGTCCCCACCCCTCCTAATGAAAATGTACCAGATTTAAGATGGATTTTATTATCAGGTGACATGGTCACATGTCATTGTAAGACCCCTAGTCTCCATTCCCCATGGTCTGGCCCACACACACAGGAAGGCGTGAAGGTAAATAAACCATTTACAATCAGTTGTCCTAGTCAATGGGAGCCATCAAGATTCTAAACCACCATTAATGGCCCACACTTTGCATAGTTACAATAGGACCTCAGAGTAATACTTCATATTTCTAGCTTCAGATACAAGACTGATCATGCATACAAATAGGAGGAATATATTCAGTAGTTTATAACCTTTGTAATGATACCTTACAAGAGGCCTTTTGCATGAAACATATTCCAGTTACATCATATTCACACTCATAAGCATATTTCCATAAAACATGGAGTGCAATGTCACAGCAGTATAGCCAGGAGGCCGGCGGGGCTGGGGGCCAGCGTGTGCACCGGGGATGGTGGCATGGGTTGGTGTGGGCACTGCAGATTGCAGTGAGGGGGCAGCATGGGTACCAGAGCCAGGGGGCCAGAGCCAGGGACGGTGGCGTGGGTGCCAGGGCTGTGTGACCCAGAGGGCAGCATGGGCACTGGGGCTGGGAGCTTGGTGACGAGGGGCACTGCAGCCTCCCCTCCCCTGCTGACCCTCTGCTCCCCAGGGCTGGCCGCCGACCTGCAGCTGGACCGGCTGAAGCCCAAGTCGGGGCGAAGGGTCTGGGAGCTGCAGACACACCAGGCGGGCCAGAGACTGGAGCTGCAGCTATCGAGGGAGGCGCCATTCACCTGCCAGAATCTCACAGCCTACCTGCGGGTACGGGGGGCTCAGGGCGGGGGCTGCTCCATAGTCAGGGTCCCTGCGGACACCCCAGAGTGGCTCCTGGCTGATCCACTTCTCAGGGCCACACCCCAGATCTTACACAACCCCCCTTTAGGTGCCAGCCCCCGGTCCCGCTCGGCCTTGGCCACTGAGCCCCTGGGCCCAGCCTCCTGCAGCCCCGAGTTGTGCCCGCGGGTCCGGCTGAGCCGGGCTCCTGGCAGCGACGTGGCTGCGACTTGGGGCCAGCGCGCCCCAGCTGGGGGTTATGGGCCCATCAGGGTGATTGGTCACCTAGGCCCAGCCCGGGACGCCCCAGGGCCGGGGCACAGAGCTGGGGTTTAAGCCTTGGCTGGGTGGGTCGTCCCAGAGCACGGCACCAGCAGTGACCCCTTGGTGGGCTCCAGCTCTGACCTGCACACCCGGCCCCTACAGCCCCAGCCCCAGCCCGGGCTCTGCCCCATGGCCTGCCGAGAGACTCCGGGCAGGCACCCCTGGCGCGGGCACTGGCGTTCTGACCCCCATGCGGATCCGGGTCAGTTTCAGCCAGCTCCTTAGCGACTCTTCGCTCCAGCTGGGTGGGGTGACGCCCCCTACGTCTGTCTGCTCTGAGAGCATCATACGCCTGCTCCCCCCAGGCACCCCGCAGCCTACAGGGGAAACCGAGGCACGTGTCGGGGGGGACAGAAATATTACCAAAAATTCCCATTTGGTCACGTCTCTGTCCCATGGGCTCAGGCTGGGCCAGGGCAGCCACCCTTGGTCCTAGCGGGAAGAGTTCACAGTGTGCCCGGGCTGAGACCTGCGCGGGGGGGAGGGCACCGGCACCCAGCCCTGCCTCATCACTCTCCTCTCCCCTCCACCCCAGGACGAGGCTGATTTCAAGGACAAGCTGAGCCCCATCGTCGTGAGCCTGGCACTGACCCTGGCAGCTGGGCCGGGCACCGAGGAGCTGGGACTGGTGCTCTACGGGCAGACGGTGGTTCAGGAGCAGGTGTGCCAGCCCAATGCCCCCTGACTATCCCAGCCCTCGGCTCCCCCCATGTTCCCGACCTGCAGCCCCTGCTGTCCCCTCCAGGAGCTCCCCCCACAGCTCTGCTGGTGCCCCTCAACCTTTACCCGCAGCCCCCAGAAATCCCAGCCCTGGGCTTCCCCCGCCCCACAGATCTGCCAGTGCCCCTCAATCCCAGCCTGCAGCCCCTACCATCCCAGCCCCGGGCTCCCCCTCACCCCACAGATCTGCCAGTGCCCCATAACCATGACCCACAGACCTCTGCCCCCAGCTCTGCTGGTGTCCCTCAGTCCCGCCCTGCCCTCAGCCTTTCCTCTCCCTGCTGGGCTCTCTGGGGCAGAGCGGTGCCAGGGCTGGTGCCCCATGGCGTCACTGGCTGTGAGGCTGAAGAACTGCTCTTGCTTTGTGTTCTGCTTGGCCCCAGACAAGAATCGTGCTGGACTGCGGCGAGGACAACGTCTGCATCCCAAAGCTGCGGCTTGCCGCCCACACGTAAGCACAACTTGGGCTGAAGCCAGGTCCATCCTCAGGCCGCTGGGCTGGGGGTCAGGAAGGAATTTCTTTCCCTGGTGTGCTGCAGCATTCGGTGCATGGGGGGATTCGGCTGGCACTGTCTGCTGGTGCTGGCAGGACACGGGACTGATGGACTGAGCTGACCTGCCAATCCCTAGGGCTCGCAAGGGCTTGTTCCCCATTGGCTGTGGTCCACTTTCAGACAGCTTCCCCAGCCGACACACAGTGTAGGCGGCTCCTATTGGCCAAGCCCTGGATTCCTCTGGGTCGGGCCAGGGCTCAGGCTCCTTCCCTCCATCTCTCAGGCCCGTGGCCCAGCTGTTCATCGGGGCCGAGAACGTGGTTCACATCCTGGCCGACGCCACCAACGCGGGCGAAGGCGCCTTCGAGGCCGAGCTGCGGCTGCAGCTGCCACGCGACGTCCACTATCAGAAAGCCACCAGCAATGTCCAGGTACGGGTGGGACCGGACCGGCTCCCAGAAGGCACTGTGGTGCTGGCACCTTTCCCCTGCTGCAGGGTAAAGGGGTCCCCTCCCCCAGCAGGTGGAAGGGGGCCACCCCAGAGCTCTCCATGGGGCCCCAGGTGACACCCTACTGCAGTTGCAGTCACAGTCCCTCTGTGGTCTCCATCGCTCTGCCATTGTATCGTCTGCCCTGTGCCGTCAACGGGGTTTGAACCCTGGACCTACAGCCTTGACCTCTGCCCCGGGGTCACTCCCTTAGCTGGCTGCAGTGGGAGGTTGTTATCCTGCAGTGAATGCTGGTTCAGAGCGGGTCTGGGATGGGGAGCTCCCATGCATGTGTCCGGCCCCCGTCCAGCCCCCACCTCCCCCCACAGTGAAAGTCCTCCGCTTCCTGCCCCCAGCCTCTCCCCGCTGCCCCCATGGTAACCTCCTGCCTCTGTACCCCGGCCGTAGGGGCTGGAGAAGCTGATCTGTAACCTCAAGAAGGAGAACGAGACAGGTGTGGTGATCTGCGAGCTGGGGAACCCCATGAAGAGCGGGACCAAGGTAGGGGCCTTTCCTCCCCCCCATGCGCCCCCTCCAGGCTGCCCTTCCCTTGGGTGACGGGCCCCTGGCAGGACATGGCCGCGCTCACCAGCTCCTGGGCGCTTCGCGCTGTCCGTTGGTGATGGAGGTACCCCAGTACGGTGGTGCCCGGAGCTGGGAAGGGGCTTTGCCCGGGCCCCCCCCCCAGCCAAGGAGCCCTGCCCATGCCCTCTGGCCGGGCAGACACCAGCTCCCCTCTCCCCACAGATCGCTCTGGATGTGGCACTCAGCATCAGTAACCTGGAGGACGCCGGCGACACCATCGAGTTCCAGCTGCAGCTGTGGAGGTGATGGAGGTGCCCCCTCCCCCCTGTAGCGGCCTGTCGAGTGCCTGGCTCCCTGAGCCACCCCTGGGCCCTGCTGGCCGGCCTGGGAAGCTCCTTTCAGCCCACCCATCGGTCACTCTGGGGCAGAGCCTGGGCAGGGGCCCCAGCTCCCGCCCCACTGCTGGCCTGCCCCAGCCCAGAGCAGTGGCGAAGGCCTAGGGCGCGGCTGGCCCTGTCTGTGGATCTCAAAGCGCTTTGGGAACGTTACCGAATTAGCCTTCCCGGGAACTGGCAGCCCCAGGTTGCACAGGAGTGGAAGCAGGAATGGGACCCAGGAGTCCTGGGGCCCAGTTCCCTGCTCTAGCCACTAGCCCATGTTCCCTCCCAGGCCAGGAATAGGCTCCAGGAGTCCCTGTCCCCTGCTGTAGCCCCTCGCGCCAGTCGCCTCTGCCCGGCTCTGTCCCACCAGGGCCCCGCCGGGCGCTGCGGCTGACCTGGCTTTTCCCCTTTGACCGCAGCAAGAATAGCCGCAGCCCCCACAGCAACGTGGAGCGGGTGCAGATCCCCATCAAGGTCGCCGCGCTGCTGGACCTGCGAGGGTGAGGGGGCTGTGAGCACGGGGGATGGGCAGAGCGGGTCTGGCGCCCTTGGGGGGTTCCCTGGCACGGTTGGGATCCAGAGTGGGGTGGGGTCGGGCAGTGGCCATGGCTGGTACTGGCTCAGTGCCCAGTCGCACCGCTCAATGCCACCTCGTGCCCTCTGACTGCACCTCTGGCAGGGCGGGGTTAGCGCCACGTGGCCTCCCTCTGTGGGGCGCAGCAGCTCTGCTCCGCGAGCCCTGCAGAGCCTGGGGCCAGCCCGACCCTGCAGCTGACCCCGCGCTCGAAAGTGGGAACCCTCAGCCTGCCCACCTTGGCTCCCACAGGAATTCGCTGCCAGCCACCGTGGTGCTGCCAGTGGCAGGCTGGGAACTGGCGGAGGGCAGCCGCCGGCTGGAGGACCACGGGCCCAGGGTGGAGCACGTCTATCAGGTATGGCCCCACAGCGCAGGGGGCCACAGGGCGGGCTTGGCCTCCTTCCCTCACCCGGAGCCGGGCAAGGGGCCCCCTAGTCCTGCTCTCCCCCCCCCCAGATGTTTCACAGCAAGGCCCTCTGCCATGGCTCGGGGGGAATTCTGTCCCTCCCCAGCTGGTGCCTGGTGTCGCTTGGGAGCACTGCGGGGTGGAGGGCCCTGCGCCGGGCTCCTCTGGCTGGGAGGCTCTCCAAGCACCCGTCCTGGGTTGGCACAGGGAGCCTGGGGGCTGCACCAGGCAGCGGGCGCCGGGGAAGCGCATGCATGGCCCTGGGGAGCTGATGGCAAGGCTGGGCCTGGGCAGCGGGGCCCTGGCACCCCTGTGCCCCACCGCGCCAGCCCGGAATGGGGCTGATCAAACGGGTCAGCACAGCTCCCGGAGACCACGTATCAGCCTCCTGCACACATACACCCCCACACATGCGCTGGTACGCGCCCACCTGGGCACCCCCCTGCACACGCGCTGGTACGCTCCCACCTGAGCACCCCCCTGCACACACGCTGGTACACGCACATCTGTGTACCCCCTGCACACACGCTGGTACAGTCACACACACACACACAGGTACACATCCACACACACATGTAGCCCCATGCACACCCACTGTACACTGACACGTGTGGATCCCCACGCATGTGCACTGGTACACACACCTGTGGATGCTGGTACACTTCCCTCCCCCCCCCACCCCCTTGCACACATGCTGGTACACCTACACATGCTAGTGCACCCACACATGCTCCGGTAGACCCACACCCATACACGCTGGTACACAAACACATGTACACCCACACATGTGCATGCACCTGCACTGGTACGTACACACGCAGGTACACCCCCACACATGCGCTCTGTTCCATACTGCCCTCACATGCTCCATTCGGCACTGCCAGTACTGGGGAGGTGGCCCGGGCGTGCCCCCTCTCCCTGGCTGTCTTGTTGCAAGCCGCCCTCCCCTCCATCACCTGTATGTCCTGTTCTCCCCCCCTCCCCCAGCACTTATTTACAGTGTCACGTCCCAGCCCCATCAGGCTTTTCCCAAGCCTCAGCGTCCTCCTAGGCTCAGGTGTGGGGGGGAGGGAGGAGTCACCTCGCTGGGGCCCTGGGCTTCCAGACCCCCCCCTTCCTCCTCCGGGTTAACAGCCCCCAGCTGATAAGCTGGCTCCCCTTGCTAGCGGGTTGTTTATCACCCGACCCTGCATCGTTCTCTATGTCCTATTGCCTCGATATAATCCATGGGACGCCCACCCCTGGAACTCGGCGTGCAGATGTGCTCGCCCCATCTCGGAAACAAATCTTGGAATTAGACAAGGTTCAGAAGAGGGCAACGGAAACACTTAGGGGTCTGGAACAGCGATTACATGTAGCCCCCCAGCGGGAGCCTGAGACTCGCTGCCAGGGCTGGTTTACAGTGTAGACGCCCCCTAACTCCTGTTAGAGAACCAGGAGGCAACCCCCCAACTCCTGTCTCCCACCTTCCTCCCGATGCCTCCCTCCAGCGTGGCGCCCCCCCCCCCCACCCAGCATTACTCCCCTCTCCTCCCCTCCCATCCCCAAGCTGCACAACCAGGGCCCTGGCACCGTGAGCCGAGCAGAGCTGCGGGTGGAGTTCCCGAACCAGTTCCAGGGCGACTTCTTGCTGTACATGATGGAGGTCAACACAGAGGGGAGGATCAACTGCTCCAGCCCCACAGGACTCAACCCTCTGGGGGTAGGAGCGGGGATCTGCTGCACCGGCAGGGGGGTGGGGGGGCTGCTACCAGGCCATGGGTCCCGGGCTCTGCCAGCTCCAGCACTAGCAGAAAGGCCCCTCGTCGCCATCCCAGCTCTGCTGCCAGGCACCTGTCCCTCCATGAGCCAGAGTGGACGGGAGCTGGGGGCAGCGCAGGCTGCATGGGGCCCAAGGGAGGGGGTGACGGGTGAGATGGAACATGTGGTCCGAGTGCACCTGCCAGGCTCTGATGTGGGAGCTTCCCAGGTGCCAGCAGGCAAAGCGGCTCCGGTCCCGCTATCCCAGCCAGCTGCCAGCCTGTGGGGCTGCGCTGTCCACGTGCAGTTGTGCTGGGAGCAGAGCCAGCCCAGCCCCACCAAGCCGCAGGGTGGGAGCCCTGAGAGGAGCCGGTCGGAGGTTTCCGAGGAAGCAGCGTTTGGTTGGAAAATACTGATTTGTTGGAGGCTGCATTTCCCCGGAAAGCGGTCAGTCGGGAGTCCAGGCTTGCAAGGTCTGCAGCTCTAGGGGAGCCCTGGGGTCCCCAGCCCTGGGGCAGGCCGCGTGGCAGCTGCTGACAGGAATAGATGGCCATAAGTCTTGTTAACTCACCACTGAACAGCAGCTGTGATCCTTTCCCGTCAGTTTCAGTCCTGGGCTGCAGGGCCCTGGGAGCAGAGTCTGGCTTGGAAACTCAGGGTTGGTGTTTTCTAAGCAAACTCGTTTGCAATTTCCAGTTTGAAGGAAATTTCCAAATATCAAAACTCCCCAAGAACTGGTTCCACTGGGCAGCGTCTGAGGGGTCTGCCCAGGCTGCCGGGGGTGCTGGGCTGGTGTGGAGGGGCTGAGGGGGACTGGTTTGGTACGGAGGCTGGTCCATAGGGCCTATCTCTGTGGCACTGGGATGTGGACATGAGGCCGTGTCCCCTCTCATTCCAGTTGGAGGGCCAGAAACCAACGGCCTCCCCTGGCCACAACATGAGCTACCAGCTGGTCCACAGGCGGGAGCGACGGGAGGCGGACAAGGCCGAGGCAGGCCCAGCCACTCTCAGGGAGCCCACCCTGGTGGTAAGGAGAAGGGGGGGGGGGTGTCTGCCAGGAGACCCTGCCCCAGCGGGTGCTGGCCAGGCCCAGTGCTGTGCAGAGACAATCTGGGGGGGAGTAGAGAGCCCCTGGTGAGGGGAAGGCAGTGCCCCCAGGGGTGTGGCTTCCTGGGCTTTAGCCTCCCTGTTATACACACAGGGTGGCTGCAAAGGGGGGTGGGGAGGGATCCCCCCACTAGGGGGGGCTCTAGGTCAGATAGCAGTTTAGGGCCTGCAGCCAGAGCATGACTGGGAGACCAGGCAGACTCTGTGGGCAGCATGGACTACGCTGTCAAGGGAGACAGCTCTGTGTCTGGTCCCCGAGCGGCCACACACCCGAAGGCCAGCTCCCACGCTGGGCCGGCATCTTCCATCCCTCCCGCCCTGCCCCCCCATCTGCTCTGGAGCTGGGTGGTTCTGGTGGGACCCAACTGAGAGTGCCAATTCAGGACAAATTGCTTCAAACAGGGCAGTTACAGCCCAAGGCAAACCAAACCAGCCAGAGAGGACTGTGGTTTTACCCCACTGGCTAACCACAAGTCACACAAGCAATTCCCTTAGATACAGTACTCCAGTTTCCCAGTATCACCACCAGTGCCACTCACTACGTGGGTGAATGGTTATGAAAACCAATACCCCAGTAAAAGAAAAAAGGTTCTCTCCATCCCAAAGGACCAAGCCCCAGACCCAGGTCAATATACAAGTTAGATCTTACCCACGAATCATGCTGTTGCCAATCCTTTAGAATCTAAAGGTTTATTCATAAAAAGAAAAAAATCTAGATGAGAGCTAGAATTGGTTAAATGGAATCAATTACACACAGTAACGGCAAAGTTCTTGGTTCAGGCTTGTAGCAGTGATGGAATAAACTGCAGATTCAAATCAAGTCTCTGGAACATCCCCAGCTGGGATGGCTCATTCAGTCCTTTGTTCAAAGCTTCAGTTTGTAGCAAAGTCCCTCCAGAGGTATGAAGCAGGATTGAAGACAAGATGGAGATGAGGCATCAGCCTTTTATAGTCTCTTCCAGGTGTAAGGACACCTCTTTGTTCTTACTGTGGAAAATTACAGCAAAATGGAGTTTGGAGTCACATGGGCAAGTCACATGTCCATGCATGACTCAGTGCTTTACAGGCGGCAGCCATTGACCACATGCTATCTTGAATGTCCCCAGGAAGACTTCTTATGTGGATTGGAGTCTCCCAAGGTCTATTGTCAGTTAAGTGTTTCTTGATTGGGCACTTAACTTGAAAATTCCTTTCTCAGGAAGCTGACCAAATGCTTTACTTCAGAATCAAAACACATTGATATACAAGTACATAGTCAATATTCATAACTTCAACTACAAAAATGATGCATGAATACAGACAGCATAATCATAATCAGCAAACCATAACCTGTCCACAGACACCTTATACGACAACCTTTGTACAATATTTGGTGCAAATATATAACCGTGGTTGCAACAATGATTTCTACGGTCCCAGGTTATGTCAGTAACGTCACATGGGGACAAATCAACCCCTACCCCCAGGCTCTGGATCCAAACTCTGCAGGTGTCGCAGGGGTGCAGGGGGTGGGGGCGCAGGGCTTACTCGCTCTGTCTTGTGGCAGAACTGCAGCAGCCAACCCTGTGTGGCCGTGCTGTGCAAGGTGGAGATGCTGGAGAGGGACCAGCGGGCCATGGTGACTGTCCACTCCGTCCTGTGGATGCAGAGCGTCAGGAAGGTGGGATGCGGCCGGTCAGAATTTTCCCAGCCACTCGCCCGTTTGCTGACGTGACAGGTTTTGTTGACCCTGGTGCAGATTTGACCAGGCCAAGGCGAGAGTCCCTTGGAAACCCGCTGGTATTCCCAGGTCCACACCTCCGCGCAGGGAGCCCTCCAGCCCCCAGAGCACTGGATGATGCCCGGCCTCTCAGGGCTGGCAGGCTCCTCTCAGGAGCTCTAGGGAAAGCCCGGGAGGCCGGCTGGCCCCTGGCCAGGGCCGGCTCTAGGCACCAGCAAAACAAGCTGGTGCTTGGGGCGGCACATTTTTAGGGGCGGCATGGCCAGCGCCAGAATGCCGCCCCTGCCGCCCCTAAAAATGTGCCCCGGCCGCCCTAGCTCACCTCCGCTGCTGCTGCCGCTTGCGCGCCACGGCGTGCGAAACAGCTGATTCGCACGCTGCTACTCGCCCTCCCTCCCAGGCT